ATCACTTGGTTATTTAATGGTGGTGATTTTCTATTTATATAATTATTTTGGATTGCAAAATTTGTGAATTTTGGGAGTTGGGAAATGATATTCATGAAAGTTAATATGCCTCCACTAATAGAATGTTATTTTCGTTGGTTTGTATAAAAATGTTATAGAAGTTTTTAGCTTTTAAATTTTTTTTGTTTTTGTTGTCCACACGATTTGCTATTTTATCATTCAATAATTCAAATAATAGAACCATATAGTAACACTAGATTCAGTAAGGCAATAATCTCCTCAACACTCAGCACTTACAAGACTACTGACTAGATGTGATGTAGCAGGATTTGATTGCATGTCATCCAAAATCTTATTGCATTATTTTTTCTTTTTCGGAAATTCATTTAAAATACGTCTTGATCGATTTATACTTTAGCATGGAAAAGTAAATATTGGCATGAATTAAGTTCAATTCATATTAGTGATATAACCTAGATGATTTTAATTAGAGGAAACACACTACACACCCTTATGAAAAGCTTTTGTTTTCTTAATTGAATTTGTTCTTAATTGAATTTGCATGAATTATGAAAATTTTGGAAGATATATAATACTCCGATAAGTATTTAAGGAGTATTCATTTGAATATATATTAACTTTAAATTAGCTAAGGAATGTTGCTACTACGCTATCACCAACAAGCATCCAAATAGATGCATAGCAAAAGGAGCAAAGTTAGGCAAATATGGTCCAAATCAAGAGCATATACTTTGGTTGTGGTAGATGAGAAGTTCCACCAATTTAATAGCCACATCCGATCATACAAAATTATGATTTTCAAATAAAGCTGAAAAATAGGTTGATTATTACATTAGCTCAAATTTGGGTCACTAATAACGTAATAAACTAACTTTGTTAAATCGCATTTGAACTAAACTATCCTTTAGTGTAGAAGATCATCCACATGCATGTGTACAACAATTTTGGCACACCAAAAATAATTTCATTGGGTCGATTTCAAGTCAGATTTAGATTCACAAGTTCTAGTCTAGATAAAAATAGATTAGAGTAAAAACATGAAATAGAAACAAATATCACTATATGTTCTAGATAGATTTGCACTCTTCAGTCTCATTATCAACACCCCCACATTCCCAGTTTCCCATTATGCATGTACACATTTGCACAACACAAATCATTCGTACAAATAATCATATCCAAATAAAAAGCATGCTTCATTTGAGTTTTCCTAGATTACAACCATTGTAATTGAAGAAGAGGGAATCTCAAACAAGAACATCACAATAATGGCAGACAACTAAATCAGAAATTGTTCACAAAATGTGTAATTTACTCTATTTGGAAGAATCAATAATGTGGCCTTATTACAAACAAACAATGATTACTAGAATTAGTGTGAGTGTGTGACCATACCAATTCTTCTAGAGTCCTACACATATAGAACTATAGGAGTAGCCAAATTGGTCCCCCTATGTTTTGAGAAAAAGAAAAAAGTTTAACTCGAGTTCGTGGTGAATGTGGACCAACGAGCTAACAAGGTTTGGTTAGCCCCAATATTATAACTATTGAGAGTCTATGTTACATAAGTTACCGATTAAGAAAAAGTGAACAGCTAAACAACGCTCCTATTTTACAATGCATCGCTCCTTTTTTGACTCGGAAGGACGATATTGCCCTTTGTGTAAGTTGGACTATATAATGGTCCATTATGAGACATATGAGCATTATAATATTATTCAGATCCCTCCACTTAGTACCACGTGGTTAAAAAAATTTCCGAGCCCACGACATCCAACCCCACTACATTCGATCCACCACCAAAAATCCGTTATTTTTATAAATTTTTTTTTTTAATTAAGCTTTACCGATAGGTTTAGGACGATGGATGACGACAACGATCGTACACCGGAGGCATCGTTGGAGGATTCTGTAAGTCCTCGTACCTTTTTTTTATTTTTTGAAATAAAACATCTGCCTAAAATATCCGGAACCACCTTGGTGGCTCCGCCTAAAATCTCCGGATCCACCAAGGTAGATTCGGAAATTTAAGGCGGATGTACACATCCGCCCAGAATTTCCGGATCTTCCTGGGTGGATCCGGAAAATTTTAAGCAGATTCACCTAGGTGGATCCGGAAATTCTGGATGGATGTCTTTTTTTTTGTTTTTTTTTTGTATTGTATTGATTAATTAATCAATTTTTTTAAAACCAATTAATCAAATTTATTAATGTAATATTTGTATTATTATTATAATTTTTATTGTGATTATTATTATTTTTGTGATAATTTGAGTAATTAGTATTAGTATTATTATTGTTGTTGTGATCAATGTTGTAATATTAGTTAATGTTGGTTTATTTATTATTTATTATTTGCTTATTATTAGTGTTTTAAATATATTATTGTGATAAATCTTATTATTTAACTTGTGATTAGTGATATTATAGTATTATTATTGTTTTATAAATATTGTTATTAATATTACAATAAAAAAACAATATTGGAGAATTTTGTGTGTTTTCTTTTATTTTTATATGATTTGGAGTCTGAAGACGGCGGTGATGGTGTGAATTATAGCGTGAATTTTGTCACGGACACGTTATACCAACGTTTGATGATGCTGTTAAATGGGCGGATGCTGTTTTCATAAATCTAGGATTTATTTTGGTTAAATCGTCTTACAACAAAACTAGAGATTGTCGACCGTATCGATATTTGAAATGTGATCTGGGACAGAAGAGCAAGCCGAGAGATTTGGAGAACGCAATACAAAAGGACATAAAAACCAAAGCTAATGCTTGTCCTTTCTATATCAAGATACATTATGAATTCATCACAGACAGTTGGAAGATCCATGCAAAAAATGATAAAAGTTGGGACTTATAACCATCCAATGATTGTGTATCAGGAGGGTCATCGTAAAATTAGTGGCTTGAGCCCGGATGAAAAAAAGGTTGTGCGTGACATGACAAAGTCCAAGGTTGCACCGCGTAACATCATGGCAACTATTGCAGAGCAGTTTTCTAATGATCATCCAAACATCAGACACATTTACAATTGCCGAAATGACTTGAGAACGGAGAAGTCTGAAGGCAGAGGAGTTATTTAACAATTTCTTCATTTGGCGAGACAGAGTCAGTATATTTATTGGGTCATGGCCGATGACATCCGCGTTCTACAACATGCATTTATGGTGCACCCAATCACGGTAACATGAACGTGATGCCTTGGCAATTTGCAAATATTATTCCAAAACCTTTTAAGTTATAAAAAAAGTGAGCCACTGGTTTGGGTACGTACAATATACTATCATTACCGCCTAAACATCTTTTAAACGGAGTATTATTGAATTTTGCCAAAAAAGTAATAATAAAATTGATTTATATAATTGATATTAAGGAAATTACTTTAAAACATCACTTTATTTTTATTTTTTTTCAAGTACCTGTTATATTTTGTTTCTTAGACTAATGGAGTATTAAATATGGCTATATAATAAATATTGTGCTCGACAACTATGTCATATGTCTCATTTTGGGAAAATATAAAGTATCAATCAAGTTTTTGTTATTGCGTAATTAAAAAAATTATTATCTTTTGTTGAAACACTTGATTGAGATGATAAATTTATTACATTCGACATTCATACATAAGCTGCATAGTATAAGACACGCTAGAAGTAGTGACAATTGACATCTTCTTGTATATCTTTTTTTTATTTTTTTTTATTTTTTATTTTTTATTTTTAAATAGCTATCATTTACAAATCAAGTTTTAAGGCAATAAACAAACAATCATTAAACTACAATTATTGGTTAGCTTAAACACAATTTCATATAATAATAAGGAGCGACAATATCATATAAAGCATGCATCAATCCATAAACATATTATGTACTACTAATAATATAGGTTAGTATTGCCTAATTAGGGATTATTATTGCCTTTAATGACTCGAGAAGTATTTATTTCCATTAAAATTATTTTATTGGATATCAAGGTGATATATTATTTGTAATTTATATATTTAATTTACATGTATATTGTACTAATAATTTTACTTAATTAGATTTTAGTCTGTTGTTTGATTAATGTGTAGAAGTTTATAAGGAATTCATAAACAAGTCTTTAGTCAGAGTCACTAGATTGTATAGTTTTATTTGAATAATATGCAGCATTTATGTAAAATAATATATACTACTTTAAATATTTTCAATACAACTAATCAACAATAATTTTTTTTTTCCTTTAGTTTTAATAAATTTTGGCTCATTCTTTTTATTTTTCTACATGCATTGCATTTGTTTATTCTACATGAGTTGTCTCATTTTTATATATTACAATTAATTTTGGGAAAATGATTATTACTACCGTGCATCGCACGGGCATTAATTTGATCTAGTTATTCAAAAACTAATGCCGAACATGTTCATAGTCAATAGAGATGAGGTCATTAGTAATTTCAAACTCGTTTTCATTCTCTAAGCCTTTAATTAGGCAAATTAGAAGCATAAGCCTCAATAGACCCGTAACTCCTCTCTTAAAAAAAAACCCTAAAATTTTCTCTGTTCTCTCTCTTCAAACCTAGCCACTATAGGAAAACTTAGGGGCTGCATTCTATTTTTTATCAATGGTAAGCCCCAAATTCTTCCTTAATTTAATATTTTTAGCCGATAAAGATCACCAACAGTGTGGTGATTATAGTAAGTCCCTCCGTGTAGGGTTTTGTTTGTCCCTCCGTGTAGGGTTTTGTCAGTCTCTCCATGTAGGGTTTAACATAGTTTGTTTGTTTGTTTTTAATGTGTGTGTAGGGATACATATTTGGAAGATTCGTCTAGCAAATTTGTAGAATTACGAGTCTGTTAGAATTGGGGTGCAAATTTAGAAGATTCGTCTTGCAAATTTGGAGATCTTGATGACCAATCAAGTTTTATCACTTTTGCGACTATACATCAATAGAGCTCCGTAAAACACGATGTAATGACATCTAGATTTATCCAGAAGCAGTGCAGAAGCGATGCCATTAGTTTATGGATGTTTAATTCTTGTATTAAGAATTTAGATTACTAAGGGACGATTGTAAGTGCCGAATGACTATTACATAATATTATTTAATGAAATCACCCCTCTTGTTTCTTTAAAAAAAAAAAAAAAAACCAAAAAAACCTCAATACTTTTCCTCCTCACGACTGCTAAATATAATTTGAGAGAGGAGACGCCGCTGGTACTCCGATCCGCCATCACAGTAGAGCAGCGGCCACATCACCCGTCTGAATCTGGTAACCTTAGTAGTTCGTCTGTTATATATACTTGTTCTACTTTTAATTTCATTATCATAGGGTTTCTAGCTTTTCCCTAATTTTTCCTGGGAATTGATTTTTTTTGTTTGTTGTTTAATTTGTAATCGTGTTCAATTAAGGGATTGATGAATTGGACCCCTGATTATGTTTTTTTTTTTAGGGTTTGCTTTATAATGCTAAATTGTAATCAAAGTAAAAGCTTCTTTCTTTTGAAAAAAATAGAATTGATCTTTTTTTTATGGGTTTGTGGATGATTGTTATTCATTACTATTTCCATTAGATTTGTAGGTGAACTTATTTATTTCGAAGACATGGCTTCAGTTTCTGGTAAAGAAAAGAAAGAGAGGGAGAGAATACTTTCTAGAAAAGGAACAACTGTAAATCCAACAAAGCCGCCTGAATTTGGTAAGCCCTCTTCATTCAAAATTTTAGCGTTTCCACTTCACCCCGCTTCCCTTATTTCATGAGATTTGCAAATTATATTCACTCACTGTGTAATTAGATATTACATACACTTATAGAGTTATAGTCGTATGAATTGATGATTATTCATTCATATTTCCATATTATTATTTCATCACTGTATGTTTGGTTTTATTGTAGAAGTGATAGAATTTTTGCAACGTTTTTGGAGAAAATAAAGACATTTTCTTGAAAAGTTAAATCCCATTTTTTTTTTTTTTTCATACTCTGCCTGTTTGGTAAAGAGAGGTTTGGGGTCAATTAACGGATTGAGGCTATATTAACCGTTGAAACACTGAATCCCCTCATATGGTAAGTACTAAGGGCCTGTTCTCTTCCGCTTAATTTCAATTCAGTTCACTTCAGCTCCAATCAATTAAGTTCAGTTCCTAATTTCCTTCTCTCATACACAAATCAGAATCAGTTCAAATCAGTTCAATTCTATTAATTTGTTTTCAGTAAATCAGCTGGGCCCTAAGTAGTGTTTGGAATAGCGGCTTCCATCCATTCATTCTGTTGGTCAATAGAGCGGTTTGAGTTACAATGCCCTTGTCTTATCTTCAAGTATTCTTCTTCCTCAACCCTACAAAAATTGCCCATAATTTGCAAAAATCTACAACTACTTATATTTGAAAACAAGATTATATGCTTTAATAATAGTTTATACTTAAAACAAAATTACATGCTTTAGTAGAGTTATTAGAAAATAATATCAATATAGTGAAATCAATTTTTTCAAATAGATTTACATTAAAGAAAACACTACTATCAACCCACCTGAAACATAAAATTACCATCTCATAAAGGAGGGAGAATAGATGTGGGATATAGAAGGAAGACAAATGAACCTTAAGAACTTTTGTTGCATGTGAGATTTAAACAAAATTCAGTTCTAGATCTTGCTTGAAGCTATTATATATGTGAAGGCCAAAGAAAAAAATTGCAAGGAGAAACAAAATTGAAGATGAAAGAAAGGAGGCAAACAAAGTGAAAATATGGGAGCAGAATCGAAGATGGACTACTAAAGAAAACAAACAAGGGTGAACTAAGGGGTGGGGATGTGGGCTTAGGAGGAAGATGAAGAGTGGTAAAATACAAATTAAAATATTTAGCATTCTAGCATAATTATAATTTTGATGTTTAAGATATTCTTTTCTATTTATCTATTGTATAAGTGTTTTGTTTTAAAATTGTACTATATATATGCTCCACAATTATTTGTGCTAAACAATAAATGTTTATTTTTCTTTTTGTTATTTTACATACTTACGAAGCAACTAACTAGGTTATACCCAAACACATGAGACATGAGTCACATGACTATAATTTTTTGAACATAGATGGTCTTTTAATTTCAATGTTAGTTTATTTTACACTCCCTTTGTTTTCTTTATTTATTATTCTTTTAATTATAATAATAATTATAATTATGCATCACTTGCCTTATTCAAGTGTGTTTTTTAATGCATCACTTTTATATTAGGTAACTTTATACCATGTTTTATTATTCTTTTTTCCCTATTACCCCACCGAATATGTTTTTATCTGCTTTCTCCTTGGTCCTCATTTAAATGATTAAAAAACTACTTTCTTACATACTATTTTTCTTTCATGGTCCACATGGTACTTTTATCAAAATAAATTAATCATTTACCTTCTCCACTTGTACAGTATAATAATAGAGCAAATAAACTCTCTTAAAATTAAGGTGAATGGAATTGATGCATTTTTTAAAAAAACAGAGGGAGTATCTAAAAAGTTCACTATTTATATAATTAACAAAAAGTCCAATAATTTTGCCAATAGGTCAATTTGTACTATCAATTACAAAGTAGATTGCTAGATTTACCCCGTTTTTCTTCTTTCAAATTGCTATTGCAATAAGTTAGTTAAATCAGAAACACCCTTCTTTTCTAAGTAGTTGCATCACTTTGACATGACTTTTTCATAAATATATACAAAACAAATGTTATTATATAAAAGGAAAAATTGGCCGCAACAACACCAAATATGACAAAGGTGCATGTAGTAGCAAAACCTTTCGAGGGAGCACTCCACATCACAAACTATGCACTTGGGTGTATATAACAATATAAATGACACCGACAAAACTGAGATTTCTTCGAAAAGTGAAATCTTCAATAGTTTTAATGCTTTTTATACATATTTTTTTTTAATATATTTTTGTTTGATTTCATCCTACTTGATTTTCTATCTCACGTGACTAAGTAGTCTTCTCTTCCATTAATTCTTTTTCTTTAAACACTTTTTAACCTCCACCATTAAAGTGGATTATTTCAAAAAAAAAAATATCGCTATTATTTTCCTTCGTTTGCTTCATCAGCTACTTTTTTTTTTCTTACACTTCACATGATTGACTTAGTTTCCTCTTCCACTGTATTTAATTTTCTCCCTTTAAATTATTATTCCCTCTGTTTTGTAATAATCGTAATAATAGAGAGGGTAAAGGTTTAGGAAAATTATAGGGTGGGACCAAATGGAGAATTTTATAGTATAAAGTATAGTTAGAGGGAATATATTTAATTGTTAGTAGGAAAGAGAAATAATGAAAAAGTAGTGTAAGTGGGGCTGGGAGGAGAGAGAAATAATAAAATAGTAGTGAGTCATTAACAAATAAGGAAGTGCTACAATTATTATGAAACGGATGAAAAAGGAAAGTGTTGCGATTATTACAAAGTGGAGGGAGTATCTCTCTCCACCTCCACCATTAAAGTGTTGTACATCAAAAACCAGAAAATCAATTTGGCTTAACCTAAAGTCTAATTCTGATATTGTTGTTTGAATTAAGTATTTTGAAGCATTTTGTGGGGCTTGGTATTAGAAATTGACATATGTATCCTGAAATTTGGTGGAATAAAATGGTTTTCGGATGATTTTCTTTTATTTATCAATTTAGTATTTGTTAAGTGGAGAGGGAAAGGAACCTAAGTCAATCACATGAAATTGATATTTAAAAATAAAAAAGTAACAAAAGAAACGAACGAAGAAAATAATAGCGATTTTTTTTTTTTTTTTTTTGAAGGAATCCACTTTGATGGTGGAGGTTAAGAAGTGTTTAAATGAAAATAACTAATAGAAAGGAAGGCTAGCTTAATCACGTGCGATGGAAAATCATCTAAGTTTAATTTTTTTTTTAAAGAATAATAGAATAATGAAAAATCCACTTTTCTCGTGGAATCTTAGTTTGTTGGTGTCATTTATGTTGTTATGTGCACCCAAGTACATAGTTTGTGATGTGGACGCATCTTTGAAAGGTTGTGCTGCCACACGCACCTTTGTCATAGTAGGTGTTGTTGCGGCCAATTTTTTCTATATAAAATGTCGCTGGATTAGTCATAATGTAAAAGGTTAGGTATTGGTAAATTTGTAAGTAAAAAATGATGCATTTATTTAGAAACAGTGGGAATAATACAAATTGCTATTTAAAATTTCAAACCAACTACTACAAATTGCTTTTCAAACCAACTAGTATAAATTGTGACTTGCGAATTGTCAAGGCATCACGTTCATGTTTTTGGATAGTCAGTCATATGAATAGAGTAGTTTCTTGCCTGTAATTCTTTCCGATTTCCCAACAAGTATTTCATTTTCAATTTTTCATATGTTTAGTTGAACTTAATTATTTTTTCTTTTACTTTATTTTTTGAATGGTTTACAAAATGTGTGATTCTTGTAGGTGCACCTAATCCTCTAGATTACGTAGAACAATCCCTCTATGAATCATTTAAGGATTCTGAGAAAGAATTTCAAGATCCACTCTATGATGAACAGCAAAAGAAAGAGAGAATGGATAAAGGGATTGACGGTCATCGTGTGCATATTAGATCTGAACCAGTGATTGAGGTTCTTTCTGTGAGTCTCTGCAACCTAAACCAAAACGATTGCACTTTGAACGCCAGCAACAAAGACGCATGGGAGATCTATGGTACTGTTTATGTCCATGATGGTATGGATCATATGGGTATAGGCAGCAACCGTATTGTTTTTTTTCATCGAGAGGAGGATGTTGATGACCCGGAGATCATCCCTTTGGTTGGTGGTGCCTTAAGCCTAACTGGGCCTGATAGTGTTATGTCAATGGTTAAACCAGTTATTGGCATACATTTATCAGACAAGCTTACAGGTGAAACCCTCATTTTTAACTATGCTCCTTTGCTCAAGACTACGGATACGGCCGGACAACATCATCAGTTAGAACAATTCCACAAAATTACTGTTCCTGGTACTGCTTGTAGTGCTGAGGTGGAGTATCTTGGTCTAACATTTGGTGTTTATGCCCATGTCAAGGTCCAACTCGCTAAGCAACAAGTTGTGAGAAGTGTAAGCTATGAAGAGGATGAGGAAGATGAGGAATATCTTGATATTTATGGCACAATTTCTGCTGCATATAATCTTTATTATTCAGAAAACAAAGTTGATTGCATTAATCTTTTTGAAATCAAGGAGGATTCTGACAAGTCTGAAAAGGTGAGAATTAGGTTTCCTGTTACTGAAATTACACTGTCCAGATCTGTGGTTGCTGTGCCTGCGTATTCACTTCTCACAATTCAAATGAAATTATGGGATCGTGCTAAAAATGAGTTAATTGTTGAGGGCAGCTATGACTTTGAAACGTGTAACTATCCTACAAATATGATTATTGTTGGCCAAAATTGTATAGATGCTAAAGTGACTATTCATTGGAGGGAACCATTTCGTCTGGATGAACCACTTATCAAACAGCATGAATTTGACCCTCAGGAATCCCTCTCTATCCTGGTAAATGTCTGTATTTTTTTTTTGTTTGTTTTTATCATTTTCATTTTAATATCGTTTGGCTTTTCCTTTATCACTTTCAGCTAGTCTTGGATGTAATTACTGTTTCAATGCTGACTTACTCGCATTTATGTTCAGCCTAACTCACCAAGTATTCCAGTATTTCCTGTAGCAGAGGTGTTTTCTGTATTTATCGGTCGCCAAAATGAGGAGCAGTTGAATCTCTATGGCATGGTTAACTTTTGCAGCACCTATGGCGTATTTAATCTCTTCAAAAGAGACAAAACTGATCCTGTTATCTTATCCCCTGGCTGCAATTTATTACCTCTAAAAGGCCCTGGAGATGCTCTCATACCAGGGGACAGTTTTTATGTGTCAGTAGACCTTGAGGATGTTGAGGGTCGTGTGTCGATCAAAGGGCTAGCTCACTCGAGTGTTGGAATTGATAAACATTTGAGTTTTTGGCATGATTGCCTCTTGTGCTCAGTTATAAGAAGTGTGCAAGAGCATAGCTTTGCGGCTATACATTACACGGTCTTCTCTCATGCATTGAAGGCTACACTAAAGATTCGTTTCCTTTTCAATGGTGAACATTCTACTCAAGCTTGTTGCAAAATTTATGGTAATCTTGTTGTTAGCTATGGTGAATATGGGTACGAAACGCCTTATGAGAAATTATATCATCGGATTGTGCTTTTTGAGAGGCTAGAAGAAGATGTTTTAGAAGTTCCATGCAAGGATTTTGATATGGAGCTGCTTAGACCCGTTGTTGCTGTTCCACATGATTCCTTCTTGCGTATTGCAATAAATTTGAGTTGTCAATCAAGTGGTCTTACACAACTCTTGAGGGACACTAAGGAATTTCATGTTGGTAGTGGTGTTAATGGTTTGATCATTGAAGGAGATCAAGTTGGCATCAACATCACTATTGAATGGAGTTGTGCGTAAGTTGTTCCGTGTTTGCTAATTATAGTATAACTTGTAATGTATTGTACTTGGGCCTATTCCGAATCCTCGGATATCAATCTAATCCGAAAATTTCAGATATTCGAAATCTTTCGGATTGGATATTGCGGTATCCGTTATCTAATATTAATTACAATTGGTTAATATTTAATGATTGTTCTCTAATTTTATCCCTAAGTTGTAAAGATATTTTAACAAAATGAGTGATATTGATGCCAATTTGATCTCCTTCAATGCTCACATTGTCTTCTACTAGGGACTTTGAGGTAAAAATGCAAGAGACAATGGCAAATTTTAGCGAAAAGGAGTGTGAGGCTAACTCATTGTCTGAGAAACTTAAGATTCTTGAAGATAAGGTACAGAGTTATGAAGAACAGGTGGGTGAAGCAGCTTTGAAGGCTGCATCTCTAACAGAAGAATTGCATCAGAGTGCTGCTAAGGTATATTCCTTAGAAAGCTCTAATGAAGAACTTAAAAAGATGATTGAGGAAGCTGAGGGTAAAGTGGCACAATCTCTTTCAGAGAAGGAACTTTTGGTGGAAACAAACTCGCAGCTGATGAACAAGGTTGATAAGCTTCAGGAATTTCTTAATTCGGCTGATGCAGAAAAAGAAGCCACTTCTCTTCAACTTGCCTCTCACATGAATACTATCACCGAGTTAACTGAGCAACACTCGAGATCTTTTAAGCAGCACTCTGCTGCTGAAGCTCGTCATTCGCAGGCTGAGGAACAGTTGAAGGAAACAAGTGGTAGACTAGCTGAGAAAGAGAAGGAAGTCGAGGAGTTGGGTGCACGGTTGAGTACCCTTGAAAGCCAAGTGAAAGCATATGAGGAGGAGGCTCGTGAAGCATCTGGGATAGCCGAGTCTAGAAAGGTGGAAATAGAACAGTTAAAGGAGATTGTTGCTACATTAGATGATAAAGAGGCCGAAATCAAGGAACTCAGTGAAAAACTTGTAGCTCTTGAAGGCCAAGTAAAAAAGTATGAAGAGGAGGCTCATGAAGCAGAGGGAATTGCCGAATCAAACAAAGTTGAAATTAGAGAGATGGCTGACAAATTATCTCAGAAAGAGCTTGAAGTTACAGAATTGAAGGAGAAACTTGCTTCCCTTGAAGGCCAGGTAAAGGTTCATGAAGAAGAGGCCGGTCAAGTATCTGGGATAGCTGAATCTAGAAAAGTTCAAATTGAAGACCTGGTTGAAAAATTAAGTCAGAAGGAGATTGAAGTAAAGGAGTTGAATGAAAAGCTTACTTCCCTTGAAGAGCAGCTGACAGTACATAAAGAAGCAGCTCTTGAAGCTTCTGGGATCGCTGAATCAAGAAAATCTGAAATTGAACAGTTGCAAGTATCAGTTGAGGCATTGGCCCAAAAAGAGTTAGAGATCAAGGATTTGAACGAAAAGATAAGCTCTCTTGAAGACCAGCTGAAGAAACACCAAGAAGAGGCTCTAGAGGTTTCAGGGATTGTTGAGTCTAGAAAAGTTGAAATCGAAGACTTGACTGAAAAATTAGGACAAAAGGAAATGGAAGTAAAGGAATTGAACGAAAAGGTTATTTCTCTTGAAGGGCAAGTAACAGTACACCAGGATTCAGCTCGTGAAGCCTCTGGGATCGCTGAATCAAGAAAAGCTGAGATTGAACAGCTGCAGGTTACAGTTGAGACATTAGCTCAAAGGGAGTTGGAGATCAAGGAGTTAAATGAAAAGTTAAGTTCCCTCGAAGACCAGCTGAAGAAGTACCAGGAAGAGGCCCTTGAGGTGTCAGGGATCGCTGAATCTCGAAAACTGGAAGTTGAAGATTTGCTTTTGAAATTACAGGAGCAGGCAAAATTGGCTGATGAACGGCAGGCTCAGTTGGGGCTAGTTGAGACACGTAATGAGGCCTTGGCTGAGGCTAATATGAAGCTCACTCAGGATCTGGCTTTGGCTGAGACTGAACAAAGTGATCTCCAAGCTAAATTATCACATGCTCTTGATGAGAAGGAAGATATTGCTGCAAAATGTTTCTTATCAGACAAGGCGAATGAGGAGTTACGCCAGGAGCTAACTTCTGAAAAGGAAAGGCTTCAGTCTGAGGTTTGTACCTTAAAAAACTTCATGTTATGTTTTATTTCCTAGTTCTTTTATCAAACATTATGTAATAATAAATTACCTCCGACAGATATCTGCAGTTTTAAAGGAGAGCAGCCAGCTTCATGAAACCATTAAAGAACATCAAGCTGTTGTGGTCCAACTAGAAGAGCAGCTGAAAGAATATAGAGGAAAAGAAGATGCTTCAAAGGCCGAGATTGACAATCTAAAGGTTGAAATAACTGAGAAATCTGCCCTGCAAGCAAGGTTGAAAGAACTTGAAGAGCAATATCAGGCAACCGAGGCTCAATTGAAAGAAGAGGTAGGTGTTAAATGAATTTTGAACCTGAATTAAATCTAATTTGTTTGTTTTGAAATATATAAAGAAACTTTTTTTTTTTTTTTTTTTTTTTTGTAGGTTAAAAATCTCCAAACATCTGCTACCACGAGAGAGGTTGATTTGACTTCTCAGTTGGAACATCATGTGCAAAAACTCCAAGATCGAGATTTATTGAATGAAAGGGTTTTGAAACTAAATGAAGAGCTGCAGCTTGCAGAGGCCAATTTAACTAAGCTGGTTAGTTATAAATCTCCTTCATTCCCTATTATTATGATGCTGTTATGACAACCATTTTAGACTTAAATACCATTGGCTTATATACGTTTATCTGCTTTGCTGGTCAAACAGAAAGAGGAAAGTTCAGCAAAGGTCTCTGAATTGGAAGCTGCCAAGAGTCGTACTTCTGAAGAGCTTGATGCCAAAAATAAAGAAATCATGCTTCTTGGAAAGAAAATTGAGGAATTCGAGCAAAAACTCCAGAAGGTTGTAGCAGCATCTAAACAAAAGGTCAGTTTTTTTGAAGTTTTAACTACCAGTCCCCCCACCCCCTCAAAGTACCAACTTGATCAATGTGGTCATAGTGAAATTCCTTCAAAGATAGTTATAATTAGAAATGCAGATTACCATCAAGGCCGTCCTTGAGGGACGACCCTGGTAAATAGAGCCTGGGTGGTTTTATCAGGCGACCTGGATCATACCCTTTTGGGGTGTGTACCTTTGTGCCCTTCCCACTTTTCACACACATTGGCCCCGTCATCTTTACAAGAAATCAAAACTAACATTAGATGGTTAATCTACCTTGACTGTTATGTATGAAGATTGCAGTATAGGAGTACAAAGTAGCATATGTTGAGTGATCTTCCTTTATTGTTTACAGGTCGATGAAAGCAACGCTGATACCAAAGAGGGCGAAACAGAAGTGAGGTCCAGAGATATCGGATCAATGATTTCTAGCCCGACAAAGCGTAAGAGCAAGAAATCAGAAAAATTGTCTGCACAAACCTCACCATCATCCTCAGTGGTTCAGACTCCAACAGCCGAAGCTTCTTCCAGCATGAACATCAAGTTTATCCTGGGAGTTGCACTGGTGTCCATAGTTCTTGGTGTGATCCTAGGGAAAAGATATTAACTTTAGCTTTATTACCTGATTGAGTTGTGGCTTTATTTATTCAAGTTTGGTGAATTGATATTATTTTGCAGTAAGTTGTTTATATAACTCAAGTCTTCAAATTGGTGGCTGTTAAGCTTTAGTTTAATGTCCACCAAGAAGCAGTTTTTGGTCATGTAATTATTACTTGGTTATTTAATGGTGGTGATTTTCTTTTATATTATTATTTTGGGTTGCAAAATTGTGAATTTTGGGAGTTGGGAGTGATAATCACTAATTTTCATTATTGCTTACAGATGTTTGTATAAGAAGTCACAAAAAATCCCCTAAATAAAAAAGGAATTTAGGGTAACAAAAACTAATTAAAAAAAAAGGCATTTTTCTAGATATATGGACGAACTTGTTACATTTTGTTATAAGTTCTACACTTCTACATGAACGACCTCTGAACTAAATAACCTTATACGAAATACTATCAAATTATTCAAGAAAATTAGTATTGCAACCTTCCACGGTTAAATGTTATTTTCATTGGTTTGTATAAAAAAAGTTCATAGAAGTTTTTACCTTTTAAAATTTGTTTTTGTTGTCTGCACAATTTGCTATTTTGTCATTCAATAATCAAATAATAGAACTATATAACGAAGCCACTCAAGTAACACTAGATTCAGTAAGGCAATAATCTCCTCAACACTCAGCTCTTACAAGACTATTGACTAGATGTGATGTTTGTCATCCAAAATCTTATTGCATTATTTTTTATTTTTCGGAAATCCATTTAAAATACTTCTTGATGAAAGACTTTGGCATGAAAAAAGAAAATATCGACATGAATTAAGTTCAGTTCATAATAAGCTCATAAGATTTCAAGTAGAGGAAACACACCCTTAAGAAAAGCTTTTGGTTTCTTAATTAATTTGCATGAAATAAGAAAATTTTGGAAAACAATATTCCGATAAAGTATTTAAGGCCTTGTTCTCTTCATCTTAAAAAAAATAATATTCAGTATAAATAATTTGAGTTCGGTAAAATAAGTTCAGTTCAATATGATTAATTTCAGTTCAATAAAAATGATTTCAGTTCAGTAAACTTAATAACTTTAAAGAAGAAATATAAGGCCCTGTTCACTTCACCTTATTTTTGCTGAACTGAAATTATTTTTGCTAAACTTAAATTATTTATACTGAAGTGAAATCATTTTTACCCGAATTGACATATTATTTACTGATTCTCTATTATATTTTTTCTTTAAAGTTACTAATTTTTACTAAACTGAAATTATTTTTACTGAGTATTATTTTTGTAAGGTGAAGTGAACATGGCCTAATAGAGAATCAGTAAAAATAATTTAAGCCCATGTTCACTTCAACTTTTTTTTTTTTTTTTTTTTTTGAATTGAAATTATTTTTACTGAACTGAAATTATTTTTGCTAAAGTGAAATTAATTTTACAGAATTGAAATTATTTTTACTAAACTAAAGTTATTTTTGCTGAACTAAAATTATTTTTATTGATTCTCTAATATATATTTCTTCTTTAAAGTTACTTATTTTTATTGAATTGAAATTATTATTACTAAGCTGAGCGTATTTACTGAACTAAAATCAATTTTACTGAACTGAATATTTTTAAGTTGAAGTGAACAGGGCCTAGTTTAAGCAAAAATAATTTCAATTCAGTAAAAATAATTTCAATTCAGCAAAAATAAGGTGAAGAGAGCAAGGCCTAAGGAGTACTCATTTGAGAAATATAATAAAGTCCCCCTTAACTTAAGCAAAGGAATGGTGCTACAGCACTGTCACCAACAAGCATCCAAATAGAATGCATAGCAAAAGAAGCCAAGTTAGACAAAAATGGTCCATAACAGGAGCATATACTTTGGTTGTGGTAGATGAGAAGTTCCACCAATTTGAAAGCCACATGCAATAATACCAAAGTATGATTTTCAAATTAGAGGTGAAAAATAGGTCGATTATTACATTAGCTTATATTCGGGTCATTAAATATGATGCCTTTTATAAACAAATTGTTATCCTGCATTTAGACTATTATCCTTTAATGTACAAGATCATCCACATGCTCAATAACTTAGAAAGTATTTCCCTCAAGAATAACTTAGTACAAAGTATTATTTTTATCATATCATCAATCAAATCTTTGTAAAAAAAAAAAAAAAAAAGGATCATCAATTGATTTATACAAAGTTCATTAGTATATTTTAGTGCTACAAGCCTACAGTTATATAGTACAAGGTAAGTTTATGAGCATATGTGTAAATACTTTTGGCTCACCAAAAAGAATTTTGTTGGGTTGATTTCAAATAGACTAGGTCCCCTATATATCTTGCTGCACGAAGTATATGGCGTAAGATTATTCCACAAAATAGCTTGCTGCATTTTTACCAAGGCCCTCTCAAAGACTGGCTTACGAAGAATTTGAACCAATCAGGCTTGATTGATGGTGATTGCTGGGCTACTTAATTAGGGGTAGCAATTTGGTGGATTTGGAGGTGGCGAAATTGTTTTGTGTGCAATATAAGTGATAAAATTCCCGTTGATACTGGTACTTTCTTGCATATTAGATATGATGAGGCTAGAAGGGCTTTAAGTGGTGACTTGGATGAACAACACCGCAAGCATGGACATAAAGTACTAACCGATGTTACCCGGCATGCCCCTGACTTTGGCTGGTAAGTATTGAACTGTGATGGTGCGGCAAAAAGATGTACAGGGCCTGTTGGAGGTGGTGGCATCATCAGGGACCATGAAAGACGCTTTATTTCAGCGTTTGCAGCAAGGTTTGGGCATTGTTCAGCGTTTAAATCCGAAGTCATGGCTCTTACTAGGGAGCTGGAGTTAGCTAAAAATCTTCAAATTTCGAAGTTGGAAATTCAGATGGACAATTTAGCTTGTGTTCAAGCATTGCAACAGAAAATGGTGCCAAGGGGTGAGAGCATCCAAGCTATTCTCTACTGTCAGCGTTTGCTCAAGGAATCAAGATGGCAAATCAAGGTGACACATGTGTATCGTGAAGGCAATAGAGCGGCAGATTGGTTGGTCAACCGCGGAGTCACTCCAGACTCTCAATTGATTATCATTACTGTTGTTCCGTTAGAGTTGAGTCGTATTTTAGAGGAGGACGTTAGGGGCGTGGCTTTACCGCGTCTAGTCCCTCCGTAGCTTAGTTTTAATTGTTTTGTTTTGGTTTGTTTTTTCCTTTTCTTGCTTGAACTTGGTTTGTTTTAGCTCTGCTTTCTTGGTTTTTAACCTAATTTGAATCAAAAAAAGAAAAAAAAAAAATTTGACATTTGCTACCAGCAAAAGAAACTTGTATCACATTTGCTACCTATTTAATATTTTATTTTACTTTACTACCACCCAAATACCAAAAATATATAATTCACTACCAGAAAACGGTTTATGTTAATGTTATTGTTAGTGGGGCACAACCACCGTCTAGCCACCTTCACTGCAGCCACCCCCCTTCCAGCCACCTTCACTGTAGCCACCCTCCTTCCAGCCTTTCTCCCTTCCAGCCACCCTCCTTCCAGCCCTCTTCCAACCACCCTCACTGCCAGCCCCCCTCCCCTCTCCTCTTGCTGAGTTCGAAAACGCCGGAATCAACCTTCAACTCATCCCTTAATCCTCTTGCAATCGATATGTTGTTACATTTTAATTGTACGAACCGAGCTCGAAAAAGTGGAATATGCCCAATATGGTTACATCTTAAGGGGAATCAACCTTCAATGGGATCAAAATCGCCGGAATCAACCTTCAATTCATCCGTCATTGCCTGCTGCTGCTTACCCTCTTCTCAATTCCAAGTCCTTCGTCTTCAACCCTTCACTCTGTTTCTCATTCTACTGATGCTATTACCACTAAACTTCTCATTAAACTCAAGGTTTTAATTTTACGCATTTTCCCTTTTCATTTTTTTTCCAAGCAGCGTGGGAAAGGGGAGTGGGTAGGGACGCCGGCGCCGGCGCTGCCAGCAGCCAGCACGGAGGGGACGGATGACTGACGGGAGGTGGCTGATATTGTTTATTTTTTTTAAGTTTTTTCTTTTTTTTTAATAAATTAAATCATTATTTAATGAAAAATAGGCCCCACTTAACAAAATCTTAACGGATGTTGTTTAGCGGTAGCAAAAGCTATTTGTTGTAACTTTTAAAGATAGTAAAATAAATAAAAAAATATTAAACAGGTAGTAAATGTGACACAAGGTTCGTTCGCTTATAGCAAATGTCAAATTTTCCAACAAAAAAAAATCAATGAAACTACTTTGTTGCGACATTGGATTAAAAACTATATCCTACTTTTTTACAGCGAGGATGGTTCACATAGTGAAAGGATCGATACTTTCATTAAAATATTATGGATCGTCTTTGAAAAGCTAGGAATGAGAGGGTTTTTTTAGAGTACTCGCCCTACATGCTATTGTGGGTAAGATTATTTGAAAAATCAGGGAGGATCTTCAAATTTACCAAAACCTTGATTTGAGAAAATTAGATCAACTACAGATTATGACGGGAATGAATGTTGAGTCACTAGGATTCTTGAGGGTTGGAATAGGAGTGGGAGGTGTTTTAATTAACTCCCCTCTTGATCTTGGCCAACATATAATTATTATGATTTATGGATCGTGGCAGAAACACGCGGGAAATGCAGGTGTTGAATGGACTTTCTCTGAAGATGGTAACGCTTTTCTAGAAGGAGAAGAGGATTTTTGTAGAACTTCATCGGCATTACGAAAATTATAGCTTGCTTTACAATGCTCTCATGGATTTATATGGAATTAACGATGCTGATTCGAATGTTACACGACAAAAGGAACGTGGATATGGCTAATTTCTTCGAAACTATGGAAATCAAGCATTTAGGGATGTTTTTCCAAAATTGTATCATTTGGAAAATGAACAGGACAGGTAAAGACAACACATGATATTGCAAATAGGTGTAGGGTAGGTTTATTTAGCTTTAGTATTTTAATGTTTTTCCTTTTCAATTTGCTCTTCTAAAAAAAAAAAAATTACTTAGTTCAATTTACAACTAACCCTTAGTTTTTGAAAATTGCAACAATGCAGGATAAAAGATCAGTAATGACTAGATGCAAAAGTGTTGCAATAATAGCACAAAAATATAAGTTACAATCATTGTGCCATTCTTACAAATTTACCATGCAAATGACCTAGAAAGAAATTATAAAGGTCTTCAATAATCAATTATA